TTTTCTTACATCACTTGATGTAATATATTTAGAGTTGTTGGATATTAAATAAATTATGTGAAATTTATTAATCTAGGGAGAGTTTACGGTACCATCTAATCAATTAGTCATATAGTACTGCCAAAAAGATTTGACTGTAAATTTTTTGGCATTAAATATTACTCAAATATGTGGTTGTGAATTTTTTGTCTTTAAATATTACTCACTAAAGGTAAAAGTACCACCTCTAGATGTGAGGTGAACTTATAATCTCTTGAGGTGAGTTTACAACCCTTTATGATAATGTTATTACATTTATAGACAAAATTATTACCTTTAGTGAATAATATTTAATGATGAAAAATTCACAGTGACACGTTTGAGTAATATTTAATACCAAAAAATTTACAGTCACACTTTTTTAGTGGTACGATACTATTATTTTACCAAGCGGTACCGTAGATTCTCTCATTAATCTAACGGTCTATGTTGAGATGGTGTACAAAAAATTATTCAAAATACGCATAAATTAATCCGAAAATCTTTATCGTTGGACCCAACAAATATGGACTTGTGGACAGTGACCTCATAAGAAGATGACCCATTAAAATGCAGAGAGATAGAGATGCTTATTTGTTTTGTTGCTGCGCCAAAGGCAACAATAAGCAACAAAGTAACACTTTTGTCGCTCGAAATTCTCCCAATCACCCCCACCTTCCTTTTTCTGTGCACAAAACTTCTCTCAAAATCGTTTTCTAGTCATTATTATGTTTTGCTGTTCTTCTACTTCTATATTAACAGTAGAAGAACTCACATTTTGGCATGTCTAATATATATTTCTATCAATATAATAAACCACATAACAATTTAAATTTTTATCTCTTACATATTTTTCCTCTTAAAAATATTACATAATTTATTTTTATCACATGTTCAATCATTTAATATTTGATTAATTTATAATTTAACATAATTTTTCTTTCAAATGATATCCATATACGATAATATATGCATATTGAAAAAATTTAATATAGTATGATCGATTTTTTAGACACTCGAATTTTATATTTCATCGTGTCTTTAAGTACGAATTATGACTAAATATCTATATATATATATATATATATATATATATATATATATATATATATATATATAAAGTCCATTGTATCATATAATATAACCAAAAAAAATCAATTAAAATTGACTTTTGTGGTTTGTTGATCCCTACGAGTATGAAAATTTGCATTGACACCCCTCCATAAATTTTAAGGGTATTAATTCGTATCGTGTTCTATTATGTCATTTTTAAGTCGTGTCATTTTTATTTAGATTGTATTCGTGTTACCATTCGTCTCAATAACAAATATTTAATTCTAAAGTAAATTATATAATACTATGTAAAAAATTTAAAAAATCTATAAAATATATTTTTCAATTAATGTTAGACACAAAAAAATACAATTAATTAGTATTGTAAGTAAAAAAATTAATAAAATATCTTTTTTCTACTGTTCCCACCTACCCATTATGTTATCCCCCGCCCTTTTTTTAATAAGCCGTTTTTACCGTTTTAATTTATTAACAACTAATCCACTGTCACCTGCACTAGATAGTATATACAGATCCAAAGCTAAAGCTCAGCACTGTCTTACATATTTCTTGAGCTTCTTGCTTTTTCTTGGAGTCTGTCTGTCTCTCTCTCTGTCTCTCTCTCTCTCTCTCTCTCACACACACACACACACACACACACACACACACACACAAAGACAGCTCCTTCAATGGCTTCTGAGAACAATCACAACACCTGCAGCAAATCAAAGCATCAAGTCTCAGCAATGATAAAACAAGGGTTTATCTCAGATCCCTTTCTCGGGCCTCCTTCAAAAACACCACTTTCTCTCTCTAGGGTTTCTGTGTCTCCTCCACCTTCCTATCCCAACTCACCCATCCAGACCCAGAACCAAATCCGCCCAAGTCCGAGCCGATCAAGCCCGACCCTTTTCGAAATGATGTCAGAGGAACAGACACGAGAGTCCAAACAGACCCTGGAGACCCGCCATAGACTCCAAGAAAGAATCTCTAGGGTTTTAGCTGAAGCCCCATTTCGAAACCCTGATGGCTTTTTAGGGTTTGGTGATGTGAAGCTCACAATCACTGCGACTGATGGGTTTACCGTTTCTATGGATGTGCACAAGAGGGTTCTTGCTGATAAAAGCAGGTTCTTTGCCGAGAAGTTGCGAAGAAGTGGATCCCACTCTGTGGAGATTTGTGAGGTTGATGATGTTGAGGTGTATGTAGAGACTCTTGTGTTGATGTATTGTGAGGATTTGAAGAGAAAATTGATGGGTGAGGAGGTCTCCAAAATCTTGGGTTTGTTAAAGGTTTGTGTTTTTAGTTTTTTTTTTTTTTTTAAATTTCACTCCAGTTTGTTTTCTTCAACATGTTGGCATGAGCAATGTAGATTTGTTGATAGACAACTTCATTTAAGGGTTTTTGGAATAATGCTATTGGGTTTATAATGATTTTTAATGGGAGAAGGTTGTGATAGATGATTTTGTCGAAGGGTTTGGGGAATTATGAAGTGGTTTAGTCAGAAATGGTTCTGTGTTGTGCATAGAAAATGTGGGGAAAATTGATTTTTATTTGAGGAATTGAAGCAAAAAAACAAGTTTTGCAAATTCAAGTTCTTTAATTAGATGCAATGGGATTTGGTTATGAGTGTGTCTGTTTTTGCTTGTGGTTGTGACTTATATGAGATGGTACTGTTGGTAGTTGATCAACTGTGGGAAAGGAAAAGAAGCTATGAAATTCGTATGAAGAGAGAGTTTCATTTCACCGGGAGATTGGAAACCGGAAGTTCTTACATTTGTTTTATTTAGAAACCAAAATTTTAGTTTTATTATTGTCCTCAATGTTCTTAGTATGGAACAGACCACAAGGACGACAGTCTCTGCCTTTCAGCTCAATGTTGGATATCAGTATGAATTTGATTGTTTGTAACAACAATGAAGGGAAAGAATGATGTCAAATGTGGATAGGCCGATATGTTTGCACTCTGTTTTTCCAGTTACAAATCCAGAAAACCCTGTCCCTTTTGATAATCTTAATTTGGTCTGCCATGTAAAATGTTCCTCTTTCTATGAATTGAAAGTTTTGTTTCTTATTAAAAATGTAAAATTTCTCTCAACCCAGTGTCCTCTTCCAGGTATCTGCAGCTATCATGTTTGATGCTGGGATAATATCATGTTTGGAGTATTTGGAAGCAATTCCTTGGTCTGAGGAAGAAGAGGACAAAGTGGTATCCCATCTTAGTGAACTTCAGATTCAGGACTCAGTCACTGATGTTTTGCAGAGGGTTTCAGCCGAGCCATCCATGTCTTCAAGAGCTGATGACATCTTATTGAGATTGTTGACTGGTGTATTACAAGCCAAGGATGATAAAGCCCGCAGGGATATGAAAACGTTAATTTCTCGATTGCTTAGAGAAGATGCATCTGATCACAGTAGTTACAGCAATAGGCTTGATATCTCCAAAGATACCCTTCTTCATCTTTGCCATGGATGCCTAAGTTCTCTTATACTGTGCTTATCTGAAGCTACATGCATGGATGAAAGCAGGCGGGATCGAGGTGTTTTGATGGGTGAGATAGCTCGAGAAGCTGACAATATGCAGTGGATTGTTGATATTCTAATTGATAGAAAATTGGGGGATGAATTTGTGAAATTGTGGGCGGATCAGAAGGAGCTTGCTGTTCTCCATTCAAAAATTCCCACCATGTACAGGCACGAAATAAGCAGGATCACTGCACAACTTTGTATTGCAATTGGGAGAGGGCATATTTTGGTGCCAAAAGAGACCCGTTATTCACTTCTTTCCACATGGTTAGAAGCTCTGTATGAGGACTTTGGGTGGATGAGGAGGGCTTATAGATCAGTGGACAAAAAACTCGTTGAGGATGGACTAGGCCAGACAATTCTGACTCTGCCTTTGCCTCAGCAACAAACTATCTTGCTTAATTGGTTTGATCGATTTCTTAACAAAGGGGATGACTGTCCCAATATTCAGAGAGCATTCGAAGTTTGGTGGAAAAGAGCTTTCGTTAGGCGTTATGTGTCTGAGTCCCAGTTACAGATAACCATCTCCGATTATCCAAACTGATGGTATGCTATCCAATATCCACATCCAATGCTCCAATCAACATAATGTATATATGAATTCATATTCTTTCTGTAATGCTTTCTGTAATAATCTTTTGTCAAAACCCATTTGGACTTTGGGTTCATCTGAAAATTGATCTTTCAGATGCAAAAGAATTTCAAAGTCATACAATGTAAGCATACAAACTATGAGAAGTTGAGAAAATGGAAGGTGGTTAACCTGTGCTTGATTGTTTTGATTACATTTCTTCTCTGTTTGCTCACATTTCAGTTGTATGTTAACTTGATGTGTTTGTAACCATGTAGGAATAGATCACACAAAGTAAAAGAATCTCCAGCACAATCCAAGGCTACTATGTCATAAAATAAAGCAAGACTAGATTTAGACAGATAGAAAATAATCAAACGTATCTATATTTCTGGTAACACAATTATAGTGCGAATCAGGAACCGCTCCAGTTCTTTTCAGAGTCTGTAATGCATAAAATTATAATATACTCTACAAACCTATTCAGTAGTATCTCGCTACCATCAATGTCTAACAGGACAAAATGATCACGGCAACAACACCGCCATGGCAACAAACAGAACACACTTGAAAACCATCCGACATTTACCCTGGTAACTGCAACTTCTATGATCAACAAACACAAGTAAAGCTACAACAGAAGCACAACCTGAATAAAGTCCTATACCGCACTTGTTTCATTGGCAATACTTCGTGGTATATGAAAATCTGGTGCTGCGAAGGAGAGTTTCCACCTTGTTTTATAGTCACTCATATCAACATCCATTTATTCCATATAGAGATTATATTCAGAAGAAACAGAACACTTTGCGCCAATAGTTCTATCAAAAAGGGAGCATTTCATTAACCACATAAAAAATATATTCTGACATTTAAATCTGGTGACTGTTAAAAGGTACAAAATTTCTCTAGTATTACATGAAAGACATTACCACCACCAAACTTCCTAGAGATCCCCCTATAATTGCTCAAAAACAAACCCTCCTTAGATCATCTATAAATTAATAAGAGCTACAATGCAGAAACATCGAACACCACTACTCATCTCCAACAACCCATCAAATTGCTCAAGAATAATACCCCCTTCAATCATCATAAAATAACAAACATCCAGAAAAATGCAGGAACATCGATCACCAGAGATTACCACCACCAAATTTTCAAATGATCCACAACCCATTGATTGCAGAAAAGTAAAAGCTTCTTTAATCAACTATCAAGTAACAATAGCCACAACAATGCAGAAAAATGAGTTACCACTACTCATCTCCTCCAATTTCCCTCCTCCTTTTCTTCTTCTTCTTCTTCAAGCCACTCTGCTCAGCTAAACCAACAATCTCCATCTCATCAACCTCCCGGGTCTTCCTCTTCTTCCTGTTTTCCTCCTCTACTTCAAAACTACCCACAACTGCATCATCATAATCATCCTTTTTCTTTTTCTTCTTATCTCTGTTCCCGGCATTGCCCTCCCCATTTCCAACTCTACCGTCTTCAACTTCATATGAATTCTGCTCATTCTCGATTCGGTTTTTCTCTTTCTTGTGTCTGCGACTATGCTTCACATTTTCTAGTCTTTCTTCTTCAGCTTCATCTGGGTTTTTCCCGATCCTTACCGCATTCTCATATTTCTTGTGTTTGCCACTACTTTCCAAATTTCTGACCCTATCTTCTTCAACTTCATATGGGTTCTGCTCAACGTTTATCGGGTTTTCGTTTTCCCTGCGTTTCCCTCTATGCTCCACTTTTTGGACACTCTCTTCTGCAGCTTCTTGTGAATTTTGCTCAACCTTCATCGAGGTTTCATCGCTTATATTGCTATGCCGATGCTTCTTGTGCTTGCGATCGGATTGCTTAGCTTTAAGTTCTTTGTGGAACTGAACCAAGTCATTGAATGAGGCCGAAGCGCGTCTGAGATATACAGACACGGCATGAGGAGCTCCATTGTCGAAGGAAACGAAATTGGACAAAATTTTCGCTGCTTTAGAGAGAGAGACTGGCTTCGTAGATTCGACTTTGCCCGAAACAGTCTTCATGATAGATTGATAAAGCTTTTAAAAGGGTTTTGTTCTGGGTTTGTATGGGCGAGTTGGGATAGGAAGGTGGAGGAGACACAGAAACCCTAGGGAGAGAAAGTGGGGTTTTGAAGGAGGACCGAGAAAAGGGATCTGAGATAAAGCCCTGTTTTTTCATTGCTGCTACAAGTGTTGTACAAGTGAGGCCCAAACGCAACTAAAGCAGGGCCATAGGCCCAACTGTAACTAAATCAAGCCTTTAAGCCCAATTAAAAAAAGAGGCCTCAAGTTTGTCGGTGTAATATAGGGACAATTGGGGGTGGGTACATTTTTAAAAACTTAGTTGAGAGAAACTTTCTTTCCCTATTTTCTCTCACCGTTACTCTCTCACTATTTTCTCTCACCGTTACTCTCTCCCTATTTTTTCTCTTTCTCTCTCCCACTCCATCTATTTTCTCTTTCAAACTCTTTCTCTCTCCCATGCATATTTAAGGCGTTTCTCTCTCTCAATCTGAATTCGGCATTCTTAAACGTCGTTGTATTGATACTCTAAAAGATATACACCAAAAAGATAAACCAAAAAGATACACCAAAGAGTTATACCGGCGTGTCACACCAAAGAAAGAGTTATACCACCTATTCACCATCTAGTGACATCCAAAAAATATAACAACGAGATACAACGAAGAGTTTTACTATCTAGTAACACCAACGACATACACTAAAGAAATAGAACAAAGCGCTACACCATACAGGGACACCAAAGGGTAAAACCATACAGTTGCACCATCCATTTATATCAAATAGATATAATAATGAGATACACTGAACAGTTTCATCGGAGTGACACCAAAAAAATAAATCATATAGTCATTGATATTACGATTTGGTGCAGATTATTCCGACAACAGTAAGAACATGAAGCCCAAATTTGCCAGAGATTTTTTTGGATGGTCTTCCTCCAAAAAAGAAATTATCGATTTGGTTTTCTATAGGTAGCAAATCCAGTTCTTTATAGATATGGAACATGGTGTTTCAAATTTCAAAAACTGACAAAGAAATAGGAAGAAACCATCGATTTTTTTGTCTTTATTTGTCAGAATTGTGTTTAATGTGATAAGGAATATGGATGATTTCCAAAAAAAACTAAATTTTGCAAGTTTTGCTTTTAATTGATGCTTTTTCGTCTTTTTCCAATTACATGTACTTTTGACCAAAAAGTTTTTTATACTATATTTTCCTTCAAATAAGTATATATTTTTGTATCGATTTATATTTTCCCCAAATATTATATAATCTAAACTATAAAAATTAAATCCAATAAAATATCCAAAACCAACAAAAAAAAAAAAACCTTTAGTTAAATGATGTGGGTCCAACAGTTCAATCCAATGACACACAATTAAATTTAACAGAAAACTAAAAATGTTGAAAAGGTGCAAAAAGTAGGCGTCATTAGTCATTCTCTCTCCCTTACACATGTTTTCCATCTAGTTATTCTTTTGTCCTCGTCTAAAATTAAAATACCAATCAAATTATTCATTTTCTTATCCTCTTCCTTTCAATCTCATTTTTATCTATTACGAGTGTAATAATATTTCCAAATCACTAGAAGCACAAGACATAAATCTACTAATTCTCTCAATTTTTTTTTATCTAGTAGGCAATTTTTGAGGAGATTTCATGTGTCATATCTCAATTTTATGAACCACGACACTAATTCCGAGCTTGTATTATTTTCTAATTGTAGAAGCGTTTGGTTGACTAGTAAATATGACAATTAGAGAACAAATATTTGTATAGGAAAATACTTGAAGAAAGAAAAAATTTTAAAAACTATTTCAGTTACAAAAACTTCTTAATATAACAAACACAATGTAACAAAAATTTTAGGTTAAAATTATCATTAATGCTATTGAGACATAATTTGGAGACTTAATACAATGTGACCATTAAATTGATAATTAATTGCATTTAATGCTGAGACCTACTGACAATTTAATGACCATAGTCATTAAGTTCTCAAATTATCTCCCAATAGGTTGCTCTAAAGTTAGATAAATAAATAAGAACAGGTTTCATAAATTAAAAAATTAGCTAGATTAGCATGTGACCAATCTATACTACTAATAAAAGTGGCTTAAGTGAAAAATTTTTGATTGACTAAAATAACATCAAAAAAGTATAGAATTCCTATCCCATCTTTTTGTGGATAATAATAACATTAAATTATATGTAATTATCACGGTTAAAACTATTGGGCTGATGACTATTGGCTTGTTATTACATATTTGGTTGAATTTCAACAGGCCAACATAGAAACAAGCATATCTGATTTTGAGAATGGAAAGCATCTCTGTAGCTAGCAATCGATGTAGAAATCACACACCGAAGCCAAATGCCAATACAACTCTTGGCCATGCAAAATCATGTTGTGAGAATGACAATCCACGACAATCAAAACTTTGAGTCTAATTGTGATTGCCTGTTGGGGCGTGTCAAATGTCAGATGGGCCTCATTGTCATCGTCCTTGTTTTTTATAGAAATGACTGACAATCACAACTGTTATAAATGCCTTCTACCACCGTATACTTCCTCCCAAACTCAGTGGCCAACGTAACTCCACCAGGTGACTGTTGCCTTTCTCTTCTCTATTGATTTGTAATTACCTTAAGTTAGACTACCTTGAAGAACTTTCTGGAATATATAAATTGAGACATTTGTTATATATTGACAATAAATTGATACTATTATGAATAGGTTACAACATGTTCTTTGTTAAATTGACACTATCTTGAGTTTGTATTTATGCATGTCAGAAATTGGTAATATCGATGTTGTCAGGCAATGAATAAAGCATTCGATAAAAGATGGTTGGTTTAAGAACTTACGGGGGAAAGGAAATTTATGTACCTTAGATTAATCCTCATGTAGAACCACCTTGCAATCTTTGTACTTTTTTAATAGGCTTGCTTTGTGCTTTTTTAACAATGCTCTGTGTTTTTTTTCTTCCAAGCATATACACAAAATGGGTCGACACCGGTTTGCATGTACTATTGTATGTGTCTATATTGTATTATCTGTCTACAATTCTTTGCTTGGATGTTCCGACCCTAGGGGATATAATAGAAAATTTATTCAAAACGTCACTTTTATGGGGTAATGGAAGCTTGTGATATCCCATCTCAATGAGGAAGTACATAGTATCAACAAAAGGAACCTAGATTCAATATCTAAGAGTGGATAAAGCAGACAGATCAAGAAGGTGAGTCAGTTGGAGATGAGATCTGTTGACTACACAATATAAAATGTAAGTATGTCTTTTGTGTTGTTTTTATTGGTTTGATTTATTGTCCTTTTTTGGTTTGGTGTTTTGTTGAGTTGATTTTGATTTTATTATTAGTATTTTCTTTTGAATAGGATCTTGGATGATCAATTTTTTCAGGACCATCAACTTTAAGACGAGAGTGAGCTAGATTTTGTGGTTTAAGTGCTCTCTCTATCTCTCTCATAATCTTTCTATTGTGTTCTTTAGTTTATCTTTTTCCTATGCCCAGAGACCAACAATTTGTAGATTACAAGAAGGTTGATGGCTAAATTTACCAGTTGAAAGGTAGCAACTCCAGATATGTAAGTAAATTTTCTATTGTACAACCCACACACAAACATTCACATGGGATCATCCTACCGTAAGAGCTCAGTGAAAGATCTTTTTATTTTCTACCCCATTGGAAATTTTTTGCGAGTCATTCAAATTTTTTTCCTTTTATTTTCTCTGATAGTGAAATCATGATTTTTGCTAATTGGCTTCTAGGATTAGTGTGATCTTTGCAGTGGTTGTAGCTATACCCTTCTTGAGCCAATGAATCCTAAAATCTTGTAGGAATACTTGAACACATTATGTCCATCCCATTAACTTGGCAATACAAATCTGCATATTTTTTTGTCTTAAGAGACCGCATTTATTCGTTATTGCCGAGAATATTTTTTAGAGCATCTGTGCCACCATCTTTTTATTTCTTGTTTTTTGTTTCGCTTTAATTTGGTTCGTAGCCGCTTCCAGTGTCTTTCGTCATCCAAGCTTCTTCTCTACTTATGTATGTGCACAAGTTCGTTGAATACTGTATAAATTTTTCAAGATATTTAGTGTTGTTTTAGACTTTAGGGAGCTCCATAAATTGTATATTATGAACTCAATTGTTGTATTTACTTGCATTAGGAGTTTGGAAATTTTTAAGCAGACACATGTTGGTTGGTGCCTGTTGTTTTGATTTTTTTTTTTCACTCTAGAACAATTTGAAGCATCATGAAATCATAAGGAAACAAAAGGCAAAAACAACTCTATGTTCCCATCACATTATGTAAGTGCCTTTTAACAACTCTTCTTTAAAAAAAGGAGGGGAGAAGGGTGGGGTAAATGATATTTTTTTTAAGTAATCATAACAAATTGTTAGGTGGTTAGTGTTGATAAAGTCATTTTGTTTCTAGAAGTAACTACTTCCTAAATTAAGTGGTTTGGTACATGTATATAGTTCAAGAGTCTTCATGTATGGAGTTTAAGGGACATTCATGTATGGAGTCTAAGGGACATTCATGAATCTATTTATTATCTAGGGTTGCGTACTTGGTCTAGGTACATGATAGGAGAGTCCTATAAATACTAGAAGTGTTTTGAGTCATGTTGTATCCCATTTTAGAGCAGAAACAAAGATAGAGAACAAGAAAGAGTGTTAGAGAGAGATAGTGAGGGTTCTCCTAAATACTCATAGTCTTTCCTTTGTTAGAGAGAAGTTATTGTAAATTCTTTTGTTATCCTTTTACAAATTGCCATCATTTGTCTCAAATTAATTTCTCATTTTTATAGTTTCTACTTCAGTTGTAATTATGTGTCCGTACTCACAACTTCCTAACAGTGGTATCAGAGCGAGGTTTATAGCTGGGTTTTTTGTGCTACTATCAGATCCAGTTAATGGAAAAGAGGCATCTTCAACAATGGCGATGAAGTATAAAATACAAAAGT